CTCACTCTCTCTCTCACACCCTCAGCCATCCTTGCCTTGCTTTGCCTTTCCCCTGCTGCCGGCCAGGCTGGCGAAGGAGGGGAGGAAAGCAGAGCGTCCCTTTGCCTGTGGATGCTAGTGGGTCAGTAGGGTACAGCAGCTGAGGAGCAGCCCTCAGGGAAAAAGCTATCTTTGGGGAAGCAGATTCCCTCCCTCCACGGGGCCTGGCGTACCATCAGCCTCAGTTACAAGTTTGATGAATTAATAACACTTTCCAGCTCTCTCCTAGAGGGAGGAGAGTGAGTCTGCAGGAGCCAACGTGATGCATGATGACGTAGGGGGGCATGAAGGGGTGAATTTGGGGAGCACAAAGCAGGCCCTAAGAGCCCAAGTCCAAGAACCTGGAGACCTCACCCCTCCAAGCCACGAAGGTAACCCTGTGGTCTCTCAGGTCCTCCCCCTCCCCCCAGAGCAGAAGGGGCAGTTCCCTGCCCAGCACTCTGGGTCTCAGGTCTCCTGGCTGAGCCTGGCTCTCCGGGGCCCTGGGTTCGCTTTTCTCCCAAAGCCCAGTCAGGACTAAATCCCCACTCCTCCTGGCGCTGGTTACTGTCTGGAGGGCAAACACTGTCATCCACATACCACTATGTACATGCCCTCCAATACTCTGACTCCCACAGCCTCCCCTCCGGACCCCTTCACCAGGCCCCCTTTGGTCCAGCAAGTTCCCCCATATCCTCAACCCCTCTAAACATTTTTGTTACCTCGTGACCTTAACTGAAGCCAGCTATACCCCGAAGGCCCCCTCAGGGGAGCTTGTCTCTGTGTCACACCCCGCACCCCTCAGGCTCATACAGGGGGGCAGAGTCCTCCTCGCTCTGCATTACCTTTTCCTGGCCATCGTTCCCCATCACCTTCTCTGCGGTCTATTGTGTCCCCCTGGAACATCATCTTTGCCCTCCTGCTCACTCCTCATTGAGCCAAGATCTTGCACCTGCAAGCCTCCCAGCTTTTCTCTCCACCCCAATCTCCTGCCACTGCCCAAGGAAGCTTCAACATCTGTTTGAACAGCTGAACTCACTCTGTCCCTGGGCTCTCACTCTCCCGACTCCATGTTGCCAAGTGACCATGTCCTGCTGTCAGCCCCCAACACCCACCACTCCCCTGAATCTCCAGAGCCTGGCACCCAGGTGTTGCTGATAGAGACTTAGTAAGCCTGGGCAGCTGATTATCCAGGGTCGGGTTAAAGATGTCGGCCAGACTGTGAGACTGGTGACTAGAAAAAGAATCATAATGCCATTGAGAGAGAGAAAGAAATCAGAAGTGGGGAAGAAGGGAGAAAAGGATCTTTATTTGTTACATGTTGAGGTTACAATACCGGAAAAATATTTCAGAGATGTTCAGTTCTCAGTCAGAAAAAAAAAAAACCAACCAACCAGTAGTTGGGAGCTCAGTTGTCAAGTTGGGGTTAGAGATGATGGTTTGGGATTTATTCTATATCGGGAGACAGTATAATTTTTTAAAACCCAGCATATCTCCTTGAGAAATGGTAACCATCGCGTGGCCTCGGAAGGACGTGACAGCGAGGGGAAGGGACCACGGTGAACTGGTCTTAGGTGCCAGTCACCACTGAGCAGGAATGTGGGACCAGTGTTAACAGATTCAGGTTTTTAAAGAGAAATCACAATTCTAGGGTTTAAAAACATAGGACACTTCCGAATAGTCAAATGTTGACAACTAATTTTTAAAGCACTTAAAACCCTCTACGGGCCAGACAGAATATCTCTGCGGTCAGCTCTGCCTCAGGGGCTACCAGTTTGTGGCTTCTGAGCCACACAGGTGGCATTTGGGAGAGAGAGTTGAGGAAATTGGGAAGAAATCAGGGACTGTGCTGTGGGGAACATGAGCCTCCCGGGCTCCCAAGCTCACCTGTGGGTATGCCCGGGGCTTAGAGAGGCCCTGAGTTTTTTAGCCACTGGGCGTCTGGTGGGCTCCCAGGTTAGTGGCAGCAAATGGAAGCTGGCGTCTGCCACGGATGTCTCTGTTCATTATCTGGATGTTGGGTGGCAGCCGCTGAGGTTCTGATACTTTCCAGCTTAGATGCCACTTTGGGGAGGAGCCCGCAGCCTTCACCCGGCCACCCCCTGTGGCCATCTCATCCCACCCTGGAAAGATGCCCCGTACCCCAGAGCGTCTGAGTCCTGGCTGGAGCAGGCGTCTGGGCGAGCACATCCTAGGTAAGGCTTACCTTCCTAACAGGAAGTGACTCTGTGGTCGAACTTAGCTGCTTTCGGGACCACTAAGTCTTCTTTTGCTCCTATATCTTCAGAGCAAGTGGAGGAAGTGTTACTTTTTTAGCTTTCAGACTCTTCTCCACTTCTCCACAGGTTCTCAGAAATGGTCCTGAGGGACTCGGAAACTGTTGTGACCCAGGGATTAGGAAGCCCTTCACATATTTATATTTTACCAAGCCTTCCTTCAGGCCAGATGGGTAGTTTTCCACTTAACCCTCAACCCTAATCATCTTTGCATTAGCTATTTCTGTTCCTGTTCTCGGTTCACTTTGGGGCAGGTGAAGGGGTTTAAAGACAGAAATTTTTAAAAGAGCTAACATCCTCAGTTTCATATAGGCTTCATGAACAGGTTTGAAGGACAATGTCAGTTTCTTCTTTCATTCCTGTCTCTGATTGTAAAGAATAACTCCCAGACGGGCTGGCCTAGGGCTGCTCTTGAGAGGTACGACTTTGTGAGATGACAGGGGACCCCAAAAGATGTCCTGCGCATGACCCAGCAACGCTCGCAAAGAGTGATGAATATATTTGGCAGTATTTCCAGCCTGATTAGGAAGTGAGGAAGAGGCATCTGGTCTTCTGGGGTGGTGTTTCTTATCAGCCCTGGGCAGCAGAGTGAGGTTGTCACCAGTGGGGTCTGAAAAGAGGAAAGATCAAATTGGCATCTGTATCAGCTGCACTCAGACATACCCCGCCAGGTCCACTCTGCCCGCCAAAACACACACTCCACCAAAGCATCCATACTTCACGAAATGACATTCCTCAGTATATACTAGTATAAGTACATTTTTTAAAAATGATTTTATGGGGTGCCTGGGTGGCTCAGTCGTTAAGCGTCTGCCTTCGGCTCAGGTCGTGGTCCCGGGGTCCTGGGATGGAGTCCCTGCATCGGGCTCCCTGCTCCGCGGGAAGGCTGCTTCTCCCTCTCCCACTCCCCCTGCTTGTGTTCCCTCTCTCACTGTGTCTCTGTCAAATAAATAAAATCTTAAAAAAAAAATGATTTTATTTATTTATTTGACAGAGAGAGACAGCGAGAGAGGGAACACAAGCAGGGGGAGTGGGAGAGGGAGAAGCAGCCTTCCCGCGGAGCAGGGAGCCCGATGCAGGGACTCCATCCCAGCACACCGGGACCACGACCTGAGCCGAAGGCAGATGCTTAACCGACTGAGCCACCCAGGCGCCCCATAAGTACATTTAACACCTATAAACACATAGCTATATTCCCTCCTACCCTCAAACATCAGAGCACACAACACACTGAAGTGTGTACTTACTCAGATATATATATGCTGCCCTCCCTCCCCACGCTGGTACACACACACATGCACACACAGAGACCCACAAGAACTACACACTGCACAGTGTGGGAGTGAGCTGACGTCATCTTTCTAGAATACCTCAGTCCAGCCTCTGCCAG